TATCTCTCTTTCTCTCTTTCTTGTCTTTTTGAGACAGGGTTTTGCTCTGCAGTTCAGGTCTAAAACTCACTTTGTAGCCCAGGCTGGAGTTGAATGTGAAGTGATCCTCCTGCCTCAGCCTCCTGAGTGCTGGGATTACATGAATGTGCCACCACACCCAATGAAGTTTACATTTCTTTTCTTTTTTTTTTTAATTTATATATTTGGTATAGGGTCTCACTACATAGCTCAGACTTGTAGTGATCCTCCGGTTTTCAGCCTCCCCAGCACTGGGATTATAAGCGTGTGCCCTCTCACCCAGTCTCAGCGACCAGCTCAGTGTGCCCAAGGGTGGAGCCAGCGTGTCATGCCGTACGAGAAATTGAACCCCAGTTCCTGTACTTGCCTAAACAGGCGTTTGGGCTGCTGAGCTATCTCACTGGCCCTGAAGTTTACATTTCTTAGGGGGAGTTGGTACATGTACACAACACAACTTAATTCCTTTTTTTTTCATCCCCTTTTGCTCTTCTCCCTCCTTCCAATCTCTTGATTCTTTTCCTTTCTTTAAAAAAAATTGGAATATATTTGCAGTACATGATGCTTATATTCTTTGTATATAGTTTGTACATGTACATGACACACATCTTCATTCTTTTTTCTCTCTCGCCTTTCCCTCCTTCCCCCTCCATCTCTCTTTCCCTTTGAGAAAGATCTACTATGTCTCCCTACTTCCTGTTATCTATCTTTTATTTTGTCCATGTAAGAGAAGCCATGTGATATTTAAGCTTTTGTGTCTGATTTACTTAACATTATGGTCTCAGGGTGCATCCATTTTCCTACAAATGACAAATTTATTCTTTATGTCCGAGTAGTGCTCCACTGTGTACAAATGCCACCTTTTCTTTATCCATTCATTTGTTGATGGCCATATAAGCCACTTCCAAAATTTAACTATTCTGAATTGTGCTGCTATCAACATGGGTGTGCACGTACCACTGTAATATGACGTCTCTAACTGTTTCAGATGCAAGAAGGGGCACAGCCTGGTCAAATGTAATTGCTAGGTTCCGATTTGTGAGCAATCTCCACACGGCTTTCCACAGTGGTTGTACTAGGCTACCTTCCCACCAACAATGTAGAAGGTTCCTTTTACCCCTGCAGCCTCTCCAGCATTTGTTATTATTTTTCTTAAGGATGGCTTTTCTTTCTGGGGTAAGATGGATGCTCAGGGTAGTTTTAATTTGCATATCTCTAATGGTCAGTGATGAGCATTTCTTTATGTGTTTAATGACCATTTGTACTTCCTCTATGAGACGTTTATTCATTTCTTTTGCCCAGTTTTTGACTGAGTCTTTACTTGTGGGGAATCTCAGTTGGTTTTTGTTTGTTTGTTTGTTTGTTTTTGCTTTCTTTATATATTTTAGATGTAGAGGAATCACTGGCAGAATTCTTTTCCCATTCTGTAGGTTGTCTTTTCACCATGTTGATAGTTTCTTTTGCTGTGCAGCAGCTTTTAACTTGGCTATAATCCTATTGTTGATTCTTCAGGCTATGTCATGTGCAAGCAGGGTTCTGTTCAGAAAATCTTTGCCTGGGCCTATAACTTCAAGAGTTTTACCCATTTCTTTGTTTTGTTTTTGTTTTTGTTTTGTGACAGGATCTCAGGCTAGTTTTGAACTCACTATTTAGTCCAGGCTAGCCTCAAGCTTGCAGAAATCTTCCTGCCTCAACCTCCTGAATACTGGGATTACAGGCATGCACCACTAAGAGTTTTACCTATGTTATTTTCCAGCAGGTTAGCTGTATTAAAATCAATGCAAGTCAAAGAATTAAATGTATTTTAACATTTAATTCTTTGACTTGCATCGATTTTAGTGGAAACCAGTTTTCCCAACACTATGAATTTTGTTTTACTCTTGATTTAGTCTCTGTGTGTGTTTTGTTGTATTTTATTTTTGAGACAATGGAGGCTGCTGGCTTTGAACTCACCATGTAGGTCAGGTTAACATGGAATTCACAGCAATCCTCCTGCCTCACCCTCCCACTCTCTGGAATTAGAAGCATGTGCCACTACCCCCAGATTCTAGTGTTCTATTGTTGTTGCTGTTCTTTTGAGGTAGGGTCTCACTATATAGTTCAAGCTGGTCTTAAACTCACTGTGTAACACAGGCTGACTTTGAATTAACAGCAATCTTCCTGCCTCAGCCTCCCAAATACTATTATTACAAGCATGTGTCACCACACCCAGGTTCTTCAGGGTTTTAATCATGAAAGGATGTTGAATTTTGTCAAAAGCTTTTTATGTGTTGAGATGATCATATGATTTTTGTCCTTGCTTCTGCTTATGTGATGTACTACATTTAGTGATTTGTATATATTGAACCATCTTTCTATCCCTGGGATATTTCATTCATGGCTTTGTCATGATATATGTTTTTCTTTTTTATGAGCAGAATATATTTATTGAGGGAAAGAAATCTTTTGTCCAAGAGAGGGACAAGTAGGGCCCCCAGTGGGTAGTCCCTTGTTTATCTTGACTATTCATTGCATTGTTTGCCCGTAT